ACACTTCACCTCATCACAGAGGATCAAGAGGCCTGCTCAGCACGAAAGCCTGAGGAGAGGATAGCCATCGAAAGAGATGGAACTGGACTCTATGGGGAGGAGCTCATTGCAAGAGCACCACCCAGAAGTTACCGACAGGCTGGAACTGGAGGGTCTTTGGTTTCTGCTCAGCTGTGTGTGGTCTGGGAGAGATTTACTTAATAGAATGACTTCACTACTTTATCAAGGACATTCTGAGTGTTTTTAACTGCAAAGCAGTGGAGAACAGGACAACACAAACATAATTTGGGGCCACAGCCTTGATTCAAGCTCAAGCAATAGCAATCTTGCCCATCACCAACTCCCTGGCACCAGTGCAAACAGCAGCACATAGAAAAAGACAACCATGTCTAGGCTACTGGCACTCGGATCGTCCGTGCCAGCCCCCTAGAGCTGAACTCTCCTCACCTGACCACTGGCTTCTTTTCCCTATAAGAACTGTTCAAAGGGATGCCACCCAGGCTTCCAGTTGCTCAGGAAGGAAGCCTGCAGGCCCTGTTCCTCTCCTGATCTGCTAGCCTTCAATACTGACCTTGGCCAGGTACTGGTGGTCCCCCTGCTGCCAGTTCCCCTGATGTCCCCTTCTCTGCTCATACCTGTCATCGACGAACACTCTTGCCAAGGCCCCAGGCTGCAAATGGCTTTATGGTGTAAATGCCACCTCTGCAGGGCACGCCACATTTACAGTGTGCTCCCTGTGTCCCTCCCAAACCACAAATGGCCGAGCAGGAACCAAGCCCTCCAGGCCAGCCTGTCAGTACCTTCCAGACTGTGCTCTTCAATAAGTTCCTCCCTGTGGAGCCCAGTTCCAGCATCTTCTATGGCCATCCTCCACTTACAGCATTAGCACCATTCCTGTGTAGGGCCCAAACCCTTCCCAGTCAGATCCACAGCCAGCCTGCATGTGACCTTGCTCCACTTTTTCACTGCACAGAGGCAACTGAGGCCATGGGTGGGAAGGTGGGGTCCACAAGCCAAACCCATTTCCCATCTATTTCTATGAAGCCCAAGAGCCAATAATGGGCTCACAATTTTAAATAGTTGGGGGCTGGATATGATGGCACACACCTGCAATCCCAGCTACTCGAGAGGCCAGGGCAGGAGGGTTGTAAATTCAAGGTCCACCTGGGCAATTTAAGGAAACCCTATCTTAAAATACAATGAAAAGTGCTGGGGATGTAAGTCAGTGCTCCTAGGTTCATCTAGTACTGGAAAAAGTAGTTAGTCAGGGGAGTGGCTCAAAAGAAGAACAATATTTCATGACATAAAAATTACACGAAGTTCAAAGTCCAGTGTCCATAAGTAAGGTTTCATTGAAATATAGCCATGGCCGGCTATGTGCACACTGTATGTGGCTGCTCTCACGATACAACAGCAGACAAAGGAGCAGACACCCTATGCCCCACCCAGGAAAAAAAAAAACACCTAGACTCTGGTCCTCAGCAGAAAAGTGTCCCAAACTTCATGGCAGGTATTTGGGGCACAACAGTGACCTCAATAATGATCTTCATCCTCATGGTAGGCACTACACCACTTCCCAATTCTCTGTCACATGCAGAAGTCATGCTGAAGCCCTCTTGGGAGCCTCGCCCCTCATTCCCAGCTGCCAAGGCCTCCTGCTCCTTGGAGAATCCTTCCCATTCATAGGGCTAGATCCCATAGCCCCCAATCACTCTGGTCCAGCTCCTCCCTTCGGCAAACAGCCATGCACCAGGAGTTGACGCTTGGCTTCACTGGTGGGCTACCTGTTGTAAGGAAATCAGTGGATCCCCACAGAAGTCACACACCACTGCATGAGAGACTGAATGGTAAACTGCAGCTAACACCATATGCTAAACTTAGCCCCACAACCCTACAGAGATGGTCTTTTTACAACTTTATATATGACATCCAAAGGTACCTAAGCCCAAATGCCACTCACAACAATCTGCAGTTGGAGAGTGGCTGCCATACTTCAACTGGAATCTGCAATGTGAAATAACCATGCTCACCTGCACTGCAGAACCACGCTCGTCTATTTTTAAATGCTAGCTGCGGGCTGATAAACTGACTTGGGTTTAGACCCAAAGTTTGAAAGCTAATGCACCTGAAATAAAGCCAATGCCAAGACTCTCGAGTTCAAGAGCACTGGGGCACATGGTGTAAGCGGCCAAGGAGCGCTGCAGGAACTCCCACAACCACCACGAGGGTAACCAAAGCTCCCAGAGCTGGAAACACATCTACAGGGAGGTCACATTAAGGAGCACCTGGCTTCTGAATTCAAAGTTAAAATTCTGATAATTTTAACTTTACTGAATCCTATTTTGTAGAGAGTTTGGTGCCCAATTTGTGATGTGAGACACAGCAACTGTTCATGGGGAAAACCACATCCAAAGTCCACAGAAGAGCCTTTTTCTCTTGCAATAAGGGCATCACTGGGATTGCTAGTAAAATTTAAATAAGATCTGCTTAGATAACAGATACTAAAATAAATTTCCTGATTCTGATAACTATATTATAGGTTGTATAGGAGAACGTCTTGTTTTAGTTAACAGCCATTTAAGTATTTAAGAATCAAGGTGAAAACATGGGAAGATATAAGCAAAGAGGGAGAGCTGTCAAGTAGATGAATAAAATATAAAACATTAATGTTTCAGAATATGGAAAAGACTATAACACAAGTTTTTATATTTTTCCTGTGATTTCAAAGCCTGAAATTATTAAAAACAAACATATAAGCCCTATGCCTATTAAGAGACCTTGGGGCTTTTTTCCAAAGAAAGGCAGTGATAGAAAAAGGATGGATGCACTGTCCATGGGAACTGGTTTACTTAATGCTGATCACACTTGAGAAGGGCTGCCACAGACATGTTGGAGGCAGATGTTCCCTATAGAAACTGTTTATGATCTATACTCTCAGCGCCTTCACCAGAGAAATTACATGTTTCAGTGGCTTCCCCCAGATCTGCCCCACCACCCAAGATGGCAAGTTGAGAGCCGGGGTGCGGGAGGCACTGGCAGAACCATCTGTAACAAGAGACAGCAGAGGTCCAGGGGAGACCGTGCTGAATGGGCTTTGCAGAGCACCTGCACCAAGTTGCTCCTCTCAGCCTCTCACCGAGTCCACTCCCACCCTGGGCACACTTTGTCCAGCTCCCACTGGTTTTAGTAGAAAGCATGGGGTCCACAAACTACAGTCCCTGGCTCAGCCAGCTGTCTGCTTCTATAAATGTTTTATTGGGGTACAGCCTTGTCCATTCTGGCTTCCGCTTTCCAAGGCAGAGTTCAGAGTCATGACAGAAACCACCAAGCCAAATACATTTTCTTATCTGGTCCTCCAGTTACTCAATTTCAGCTCTAGAGCTCCCAAGCATTTAATGACATGGATGGCATCTTCCCAGTCTTGAAACTGCATGGAGACTGAAGAACAAATCAATTGGGAACAACACTGGGAGGATCAGTGAGGTTGTTTCCTGCAGGGCTGGGCCAGAGCCTCCTTCACTTCCTGTGAGCTACAGGGAGGAATTCTGATTTGGATGGAGAGTGGATGGACAGAAGCCCCAGTGAAGCGAAGAAGCAGGCCAACTGCTCCTGAACAGCTCACGAAGCAAGTCAAATGGAACTTGCTGTCAACCACTGTGCTCGTGAGGCAGCCCCAGAGCCCACGTTTTTGCTCATCTTTCACCCCTTTCAGCTTATCTCCCTTACATGGATGCATTTTGTACAGATCTGAATTGTGAAATTTTAAAATACTATAAAACATAAAAAATTAAACCCTTGCTTTGCGGAAAAAAAATGAAATTATTTGAATCCTATAAATCTTTAAAATCCACATTGTTTTAAAACTGAAAGGCCTTTTACAGTCGGCATTGCTTAATGACAGGGATGCAAACCGAAAGCTTCATCTTTGGCAATTCCACTCTCCAGTGGACCTCCCAGGTGTGCCTAGGTAGCCAAAGGTCAGAGGCAGCACCACCTTATGGAACCACTGTCCTATATGCGGTCCCTCACTGTCACCCATTCTGCAGTGTAACCACGATGTGCAAGCTGCTTGTGCCCGCTGACAGCAGAAACATCTAACTGGAAATAGGACCCCCAGGCTTATCAGGTTTGGTTTGAAACCATGCAGGTGTGAGTCACTTGAGATCTTCAGGAGGCAACCAGGTGCAAGGGCAGCATGGCAGCAGTGGTGCGCCATTCCCCAGGACCATCCCTGGCTCCCACCAATGAGCCATGCTCAAAAGGATGGACTGTGTGGACACCTGAGGCCATCCCTAGCCTAGCCAGCTACTGCCCAAGCTTGCAGAGCTGCTCTTCACGAAGGCAGCAGAACCACGGCCTAACGCCTCCCCTGGGTCTTTAGGTTAAGATGAATTAGCTTTCTGCCACATTTGAAGGAAACATAGTTCATACCAACAAGGAAATACCAACAGCACACACAGTTTTCACTTCATTTTATCCAAACCCATCTCCTACTAAACTTTGCTTCATTTGATGACTTTCCATCTTGAGGAAGAAAAAAAAAAAGGAAAAATCACTAGAAGACACAGCTGCATTCTTGGTGGCACAGAGGTCTTTATTACTAAAAGGTTATGTCAGCACAGGGCCCTGCCCCAAGTCCGCAGAAGCCCCCACCAGACAGGTTTCCCACCCACTCAGTCACTTTCTATGCAACAGACCACCTGAAGAAAGGCAACAGTAGCCTGAGTTCACATGCACTCCATTCCCCCTATCAACCCAGTGGTTTAGCTAAAATCTATCCCAGTCTTTTCACCCTCTTTGGCCTTTTCTGTCTTCTCTTTCCCAAATACGAAGCTCCTTACAAGAAGCAAATCTCACTGTCCACTCCACCATGGGGGACGATGTTCCAGCACATGTAATAAAATTGGACAGCTCTTGATCAGGCACACAGGAGAGATGCAGAGAAGTCAATTCAATAGGCACCAATTTCATATGACTTTACAGTATTTCAAGCATACAACCTGCTTGTGTATGTCAATGTTCCGTTATATTTTAATTCAAGAATATTTCCAGGCTCCAGGCTGCAGAGACGCTAGCTCCTCCACTGGGATCCAGGGCCAGTTCCAAGCTCCACTGACTTATTCCATCCACACAGGATAGCACTTCACTCTGTACCGGGGATTGAAGTGAAGGGATCAGTGTTTCTTTATCTCTGCTCCTGAGAAGTAAGGGCAGAGGGGTGGGCAAAGCAGTCTTGTGCAACAGACCCATGGAGTCAAAGCCAAGGCCCAGAGGGATAAAGATGAGAGGATGACTTCACTTTGGAGCAGATGCCTGCAGGCTGGGAGGGTGTACAGCCTACCCTGGCATGTTTCTGCCAGGGGCAAAATGAGCTCAAGCAAGCGTGGCTTCTTAACAGCAGAATTGAAACCAAGTGATTCCTAGTATTTGCTTCTTGAATTCCCTAAAACTCCTCCCCAAAAGGGATACTTCAGAACGGTTCACAGCACTTCTACTGAACAGTTCCTGGTGTCTTTTTTTATGACTATCATACATACAAAGCAAAACAATAAAAATCTTTATTTACCATGCGTATGAGGACTTTTTAAAGCTTTTATCTGGACATTCTTGTAGAGATCCTCAGTATATATTCTCCCCAAGAAAATTTTCTTCCAGAGAAAATGTTTTTCAGGATTTCAGCAGCTGAAGGGGTACTGTAAGTTACATGAATGTTTAAAAGTCAAAGACTTCCGTGTCATGTAATTAATTTACTTATGGAACTAAGGTTGGGTGATTTACATAGTACAGATGACAACTATCAGGAAAAAAGACAAATAAGCCATACCGAATGCCATCAATAAAAAAACCATCATTGCAAACTCATCTAGAATGTCTCCTGAGCACCTACTCACCAACTCACAAAACAAGGTTTTGGGCCTTTATTTCCTGGCACGGAGGTCTTTCTTGAGCGTTAATGTGCATTTGCATCACCTGGTCCTCTTCTTGCCAAAAATTCTGAGTTTCTGACCTTCAGGACCAGGACACTTGTGAGGAACACTGGTCAGTTTTGTCAATATCCCTCAACATTTCGCTTTGACAAGACTGCACGTCTGGCACCAGCACCAGAAGTGATGTGTCCTCGGCCTACATCATGGGGGGTTGACATCAAAGTCTCATTACCAGTAATGTTAACATTGGTAGTTGATTGTATGCTTCAGGTGGCACCTGCTGAGTTTTTCCACTGTATAGTTACTATTTTATTTATAAATACCATGGTAGTACCGTGGTAATACTTTGGGATTAGGTAAATAACCACAGGTTGGAAAAGGCATGACAATTAAACGCATAAGTAGCGACCTATATTAGATACTGAAACAAAAAAGGGCATGGTAGTGCACGCCTGTAATTCCAGCAACTTGTGAGGCTGAGGCAGGAGGATTCAGAGTTCAAAGGCAGCCTCAGCAATTTAGCCAGGCCCTAAGCAACTCAGCAACCCTATCTCTAAAAAATATACAACAAAAAGGGATGGGGATATGGCTCAGGGGATAAGAGCCTCTGGGTTTAATCCCCAGTATCAAAAAAAAAAAAAAAAAAAAAGTAGAAAACTGAATTGAATAAGGTCTATATCTTACTTAATAGCCCCAATAAGATATTGTTTCTGGTTTCTATATGGCTATTTCATTATGTAAGATGTCAACATTAGGGGAGCAAGGGAAGAGAGTGGGGAAATAGACCAAAGTAGTTTTGTTATTTTTCTGTAATGACTAAAAATTACTTGAAATTAAAATTTTACCAAGTTTAAATTCTGATTCCATAGATCTGGTGATTTCATAAACTCAAACAATGCAATGCTGATCCATGCTGTGGACCATTCTGCTAGCAAGCCTCCGGCAGACAGAGCTAAAATCATCTCGCACAACTGGCATGTGGGAGACTCACTGGACTGCACGGAGGCTATGCTCCAAGTGTAGCCATCACTGACTGCGGGTGTGCCTCAAACTGCAGAGTGCTGAGCCCCTAGCCCAGCTCGGCCCAGTATACCTGGTCCTGGGAGAAGCCAAGAGTCTGAAATCACAGTGTTTGCTGCACACATCTGACTGACCTTCCCCAGCTGAGCCTGAAGCCCCTTCCAAGTCTGCAGAGCCAGAACCATTCTCTCAATTTGAGACAGCTACAGGAAGTATGGACCTGACACCTCTCCCTTCTGCTGGTGGACATATCACCAAGACTTCAAGGAGGTAGGAGAGTGGGGTGAAGAAAAGTTTTGAATTCCTGCTCAAAGTGACTGACCAACCTATTCTTTTAAAATGATTTCTTTACTAATAGAGATAATAAACCCACAAGAAAGAGAATGTGGAGGCAAGCAAAAGGCTTCACTAATTTCTGACAGAGGATCCAACCCAGGCAACACAGGGAGTGGGGCTCTAGGCCCCACAGAAGCCCATGAGCAGGCTGAAGACCTTGGCAGAGGGGGCCAGGCCTGCTTCCTAAAGTCAGCTTCTGCTAAGGCCCCCACAAAGACAGGTGGAGCAGACCCCAAGCAAAGAGGACTTCTAGAGAGAAGATGCACAGCCCAAAGAAAATGTGTAAATCTGGAATTCCAGGTCCCACTGTACCAAGCTCCCAGAGGAAACCCACCCATTTTCAAAACCAGCCCCATACAGACCCAGGGTTCTGTGCCAGTTTCCCCTTGCCTTAGACAATAATAATGCAAATATTGGAGGAGGACCTACCATGTAAGGCAAGAAGCCAACATTTACCAAAAAAAAAAAAAAAAAGTGCCATTAAACAAGAAATTTAAACACAAGAGAACCTAAAAGAATCCTCACTTCTCAGCGTCTAGGAAATAACACATTTATAAAACAGTTGTCTATTATAATAAAGAACAGGACACATACATTTTTAGAAATTAGGTTTGTAGAAAAAAATATTTAAAACAAAGCCAAGTACCATGGCACACTCCTATAATCCTAGTGACTTGGGAGGCTGAGGCAGAAGAATCACAAGTGCCAGGCCAGCCTGGGCAACTTTGCAGGGTCCTAAGCAACTTAACAAGACCCTGCCTCAAGACAAACTAAAAGGGCTGGGATGTAGCTCACCGGTGAAGGGCCCCTGGGTTCAACCCCCAGCAGTGGGGAAAATTTTTTAAACAGGATTATAAAACAAATCGAAGTCCTTCCTAGAAATGAAAGGTAAAGACAAGTTTCAAGAGGTGAATGTAATGCTTACCACCCACTAACAGGAATTCTTCAAAGAGGAAAGAGCCAAATGTTAAGGGAAAGCTGTCAAGTGACTCCAGAGAAGTGCCAGAGCTTACGGACAGCAGCAGGGTCAAAGAGCACTCGAGTGGGACTCCACGCACTTGTGCACACTATGAATTGTCATAAAGCCTAAGACAAGATTCTAAGGACGCCCAGGGAGGGAAGAGGCTCCCTCTCCAAGGGGAGGAAGAATACCTGGAAGAGGCTCCCACTGAAGCGATGCAAGGCACGGTCAAAGCCAGCCAGGTGCAGATAAGGGAAACTACGGGACGGCACCTGGGCAGGGCTGAGGAGTGACTGAAGCGGACAGAGGTAGAGGGCCGGGGAGGCCGCACGGAGGAGCCACTGTGTAAGGAGCCAACGGGAGCAGAAAATGCAGGGAGAAGAGGCGGCCGCTAGGAACAGCAGCGACAGGGCCGCCCAGGAAGCGGAGCGCTGCGGCCGCAGAACAATGCCGCCGTGCGGGCGCACTCGGGGGCCGGGCCGCCCTCCGCGCACGCCGGGCGCCGCGGACGGCCGCACCGGAAGCGAGGCGGCCCCACGCGAGGCCTCGGGCCGCGCGGTCGGGCCCCAGCGCAGGGCGGGCGGCCAGGAGACCGGGCGCGGCCCGTGGGCGGCGGGGGCGCGCGGACTCGGCCGCGGCGAACGCGGGCCCGCGAGCTCGGCGCCCCGCTCCCGGGCGCGACGGCGGACACCGCCCGGCCCCCGTCCGGCCCCGAAGAGCGGCCGTTAGCGGCCGTTGGCGCGGAGGGGCGGGGCGGGGGCGGACGGAGATCTCGCTCTCGCTCTCGCCCCGCGGGAAGGGGGAGTGGAGGCGCGACCGGCTGCGGGAGCTGCAATTACCGTGTGGGCTGCGGAATTCTCGTGGTGTTTGTCGGGGAGATGCGATAATGGCGTCCGTCCTCGCGAGAGAAGCCGCCGCTCAGCGCAGGCGCCGCGAGCACCTCCCCGCGCCCCACCCTCCGCGCAGCCTCCCAGGGGGCTGGGGCGGGTCTGGGACCTCGGGGGCGGGGCTTGCGCTGGCATCTTCTGCGCGCCCTGGCGCTGGAATGTGCTTGATGAGCATGCGCACGCGTCCCTCTCGCCTGTAAGGGCTGACTCCCTGGAACGCCGACTTCCCGGTCTTACGCCCGGGCTGCTCGCCAGTGCGGGAGAAATCGCTTCAGCAGGCAGTGTGAGAAATGTGCATCCTCTCCAGGACCAAGTGAATAGGCTTTGGCTCTCCCGACGACTACACATCCCAGGATGCCCTGCGCCGCCCGCGCAAAGCGTCCCGGGACTCGTAGTCCCCGCGTACGCGCCGTGCATGCTGGGACTTGTAGTCCCTCCGGAGTCCGGCCACCGCGTCCCGCGCCCGCGCCTAGGGCTGCTGGGACTTGTAGTCACGCGCGCTGGGCTGCGCTGTGAGCCTCGGGGTCCGCCTGAGTTTGGTGCTCGCCCACCTCCTGTGTGGCGGGCAAGTGCGCCGTGGAATGTGAACCCGCGGTGACCGAGTGCGCGCTTGCCGGGGTCGCGCCCTCGCTCTCCTCGCGTCCCCGCCCCGCGTGCTGGCGACTGACGAGAGGCCTCGGAGCCCCTGTCTCCCGGAAAGCAGGTCCTCCGCCTGGACTCCGCCCGCGGTGCAGAAAGGGCAAAGCTGGGGCCCGATCCAGCCGCCGCGGTTAAGCCTCCTTCCCAGAATAGCACCCAGGCCCTGCGCCCATCCAGGTTCAGGACGCCCTGGAATAATGCTGGGGCCCAGCGATCTCCCCACTGTCCGAACCATAGGCCTCGCAGGAGAACACCGAGCCTTGGCCACTGTTCAGGTTAAGGGCCAAGAATAATCCTGAGGCTCAGACACAGGCTGGTCCTGGGCGTTTAACAGCAAAAGCACCTTAAAGACCTTCCAAGGAAGGGACCATGGGTGCTGGACAGACAGTGGTGTTTAAAAGGGACCAGTCCTCTCCAGAGGCCAGGAGGAGGGTCAAAGAAAGGAGAGAAATTGCTCAGCAAGATCTCCTGCTGAAAGGGGAAAGGCTGGGTCTAGAATCCGGTGAACTAGAATCCTGTTGCTCAGCATCCACTTTGAATATAAGTTGGACTAACTCACGCAGAAGCAGGGCTCAGTTCCTCAGGCCTTGGGCCGGTTCCTGGGCCTGCAGCCTGCTTGACTGGTCCTGCTGACCCCAGCCCCCTGGACTGTGTGGGCATGCCATAGCCGCCCTCTCAGTCACACCTCACCTGGAGCTGCTGCTTGCTTTTCACCCTCAGGGTGAGGGGGGTTGTGTGTTACTTCAAATTGTTGGGAGGTGCTGACTGCAGGCATAAAGCACAGTTACACGCCCCCTCAAGTGTTTTTGTAAAACTTTGTGTCCATGGGAAAGACTAATAATAACAGTCCTGCTAAGAAAGTGTTCACACTTACCACTGTTGACTGGCCTCAGGTCCCAGGTGTGAACAGGCTCCCACATGGTGTGAACAGTCTGATTGCCTTCTCTTTCTAAAATTATGCTTCATGGTTCTTGGTAAACAAATGCTGGCTTCCTGGTCAATTATCCTGTTATCAACTATCACCTGGAGCGGCTCTCAGCAGGGATGACTCATGAGGCTCCCTAGGTTCCCTGAAGACATCTACAACCCTGCCCCACGCCTGACCTGAAGATGCTAGTGCTGATGTCCTGAAGGTTCAACCAAACCCCTTCCACCGGGTGAGGGGAGAGAGATACAGATAAGAGTATCTCAGTCTGCTCTCCATCCCTCCCATCTCTGAACTCTGTTTTTTCCCATTGCTGGGCAGAGTCTTGAGAAGGGTCCCCAGCAATGACACACATACTTGGCTACCTTAATAAATCTCCTTGGAGAGAAAATGCCTGTTTCTCCTTAATTTCTGCAAAATTCCCATTGCTCAGGTCACCTGGCAATGCTGTCCTGATTGGCTGAGCCTGAAGTATGTCAGAGAATGGGGTCAGCCCACCCCTGAGCCATGTGGACGGGGGAAACTCAGAGGAAGTTAGCAGCGGACAGGGCCTAACTATCGCCGGCATCAGTAGCCTTTGTCCTGAGCTCATGCCTGAATGCACAGGAACACCAGTGTCCACATTGATGTGTCCATTTGGTGGTCCTTTCCTCCAGCAGTTGTTGACACACCTTCCAGAAGGAGAGGCTGAGTGCTTACAGCAGCACAGGAAGCTCTTCACTCTGGGTTGCTGGCTGCCGGGTTTCCCACCTTCCCTGCTGCCCTTCAAACGTGGGACAGACTGCAGTTGAGCCAGCACCTCAGCCAGGCAAGTGACAGCTTGAAGCGCCCTATATCCTTCTATTTTTTTTTTCTATTTTTGTAGCATTGCTGCTACAAAGCATCCCTTGGGCATGGATGGCAGAGGGAACAGGTGTGTGGTCTGCAAAGTCAACAGAGGTGTGCACCCAAAATCATGCTATGAAAAAATCCAGGGGAGAAGAAATGAGCCGGCAAACCCACCAAGAAATGTCCATGTGTCTGGAAAATTTTAATCCAATGCGGGTCTATGCTATTTGTTTTTAACTAGGATGTAACTGACCTCTGCACTTTGGGATTGTCAGGGGAGCATTCGGTTACATATAGAAATGGATTTCCATTTCTGTCACATAAAAATAAACACTTCTCTGGGAGCAGTGATGCACCCAACATCATCCCAGCGGCTCAGGGGGCTGAGGCAGGAGGATGGCAAGTTCAAAGCCAGCCTCAGCAACTTAGTGAGGCTTTAAGCAACTTAGACCCAAAGTAAAAAGCAAAAGGGGCTCCAGATGTGGCTGGATGCATGAGGCACTGGGTTCGATCCTCAGCACCACATAAAAATAAAATAAAGATATTGTGTCCACCTAAAACTAAAAAATAAATTTAAAAAAAAGAGATTGTGTCCACCTAAAAATAAAATATAAAAATAAATTTAAAAAAGAATGAACTGCCCCTTGACAAGAGGGATGCAGGGAAATTTAGGGCTGCTGTCGAAGAGTGGGCTCCCAACTTCCCTGGCCACTCAGTTGTTTCCATAGAAAGCTCTCCAGCCTGTGCGTCGATCAAGGAGGACTGATCGATGAGTCATCTCGCGAGTGAGGTGCGAGGTGCATTGTGCTCCATCTCTGTGCTCTGTGAAACACTTGGAAAACAGAACATTTCAAAAGATCAGAGAAAATAAAAATAGAAGTTCCGTTTTGACTCCCTGCACTTTGAAACATTGTCTGGGCCCACAAACTCCATTTCAGGAAACGCAAACCTCGAGAAGCTCTGAGTTAAGCTCTTGGGCTGAGGATGAAGAAAGCCTCACACCAGCAGAAAGGAAAGACCTTGGGACCTCCCCTTCTCCATCGAAAAATGCCCTGTAGTTTCCGTTAGCCCTGCAGCGTCAGGGTCTGCAGGCAGCAGAACAGCATGGGTGCAGAGTTGTGCAGGCTCGACAAGTCCAAGTTGGACAGGGAGGGCAGGCAGCTAGAGACTCAGGAAGGGGTTCAAGTCCAAGTCAGGCTGCTGGCCACATTCCTTCTTGTTCAGGGCAATCCGTCTTCTTTCTCTTCAGCCTTCAACCGATTGGATGAGACCCACCCAGATAATGGAGGGTAAGTTGCTTTATTGAAATCCACTAAGATTTAAGTGTTAATTTTACTATATAGAGAACACCTTCATAGAAACATCCAGAATAATATTTGGTCAACGTTCTAGGCACTACGACTCAGTCAAGTTGACACATAAAATTAACCGTTTCAACTCCACATGAGAATTTTCAACTCTAGCAGAAAATTATAGACCTGTGAAGCCCACTGAATGACACTTTGTGCGCAAGGTAGACACAGGAATTTAAAGGTGTCCGGTTGGGTAAACATGAAAGCTCTTGGTTGAAATGCAAAGGGAGTGGGTGAGAGACAATCTCCAGGAAGGTAACTCAGCACGAATATCACAGTTGAAGCATATTTGTCCTCTGACCCATAAGTGTCCCAGCTAGGAATCTCATTCAGAGATGTTTAGGACAGTGTCATGTACAAGACCAAAAACAAAATAACATTCTCATCTGTTGAGCTAGTCATTGAATAAATTTCGGTACATCTTTCAGTGGAATATTCTGTCATTTTTAAAGAATTATGCACTGATACAGAGATTATTAGGATAAATTATTAAGTGGCTATGGGTGTAGATCTACCTGCATGAAACAAGAGGGCCGCACTGTGAGGTCACGAAAGCAGTCCACCCTGGGCAAGGCGGACTTCGCAGTCCACTTCCAAGCTGCTCCAGACATCTCAGGGGTCTGAATGTGCACTGTTCGTCCTTTTCCAGGACAGAGATTTCTGTCAGTACGGCCACAGCACCTGAGGTGGTGTGTAACAGGCACCTGCCAGGAGGGGAGGGACAAGATGACGGATATTTTCTAAGCAAAGCAGAGACCTGCCAGGAAGACCACAGGGCAGGAAGGAAGACCCAGACCCACAAGGACTGCATGGATGCCGTCGGCCTCAAAGAGGGAGACTGTGGATGGTGGAGTGGCCAGGGACAGGCTGCAGAGGGCAGCTGACAGCTCAGCACAGTGAGAGGCCAGCTGCTGGCTTGGGCCAACTGGGCCTCGACAAAGCACTTAGCCTGCAGCCCCAGGAGGGCTTGCAGAGGGCTTCCTGCAGCAGTGCAGGGGCCTTCACAGACAGGACACTGGCGCTGACATTAGTGAATAAGTCGAGCACTTGCAAAGGCCCCTGTGGAAGAAGAGGTAGCCCAGAGGTGGCTCTGCCGTATGAGGATAGCTCACGCTGTGAGAAGGGTTGTTGGAAGCACCGGGCCCAAGTGACAACCTTCCTCTGGCTCATCCTGGAGGTTTGCTGCTCTAGGGTTCCGGGATCCCCGCCCTCCCCGAGACCACAGGCTGACACCAGAAGCAGCAATCACAGCAGCAAACGCTGGCACGCCAGGTGGTCTTCCTGTGGCCTGGCATCGTCAAACATCACGGGCCATGTGGCCAGGGTGACCAAACAACCTGCCATCCGCATGCAGACCCTTTCATGCCTGAGAGCAGCACTGTTGGTGTTTATGCTGAGACAAGAGGCGCTACCCACGGGCTCTTGCTCCAGGGGGATGGCTGGCATCGAGTCGTGTCTGTTTAGTGGAAAGGGGCCTCACAGCAGCCCCAGCAGCCCCGAGCAGACAGGCCACCTGCTCACCTGCTGCGTCTCCCTGTGCCTGCAGCTGGCCCCACTCCTGAGCTTCTGCCCCTACCATCTTAGCTCACGCACCCAACAGAGCCCTGTGCCTGCTGCTGAGTGTCCTGTGGCTCCAAACCAAGGTCAATACCACAGGGAACCGGGACTTTGCCCGTCCACCCGCCCTCCCGTCCTCCTGTGCTCACAGCAGCTCCCCATCAGGTTTTCTAACTCCCTGGTGGACTCACCAAGCTGTTTACCAGACCAGAGCACAGTGACCTGAGTTGTGTGTCCCCAGCGAAGGCCACTTGTCCCCATGCAAGCACTCCGAGCCAAACCACACACCATCTCACACAACAATCTGGGACAGGCACGGATTGAAATTTAACCATCTCAGGGGTTTGGGTGAGCTCCTCAAAGAGGCGGTATGCCTCACTCACTGTCCTGACCAAAGCGTGGTCCGAAGGGGAAGTCGCCCTCCTTGGGGAACAGCCAGAGATGTTCAGGGTCACAGTGCTGGGGAGGGACCCCTGCAAGCCCTCAGCTGCGGCCTTCTTGGTCAAGCAGATGTGGGGAACTTCCCAAGGTCATGCAGCAAGGCCAGCACGATGGTGCTCCCAGCGTTCCTGCACCCAGAAAAGTCAGAATGAGGCAGGTGAGTAGCTCTGCAGGCGTCCCGGGTGCTGCTGGAAGTCTGTAGAGTCGCAGGAAAGTTTCCAAAATGAGAGCGTCCCAAGCAAGCCAGCTTGGTTTGAGGTTTCTGCTGTCTCTTTTGCATTTGATGACCCTGAGTAGGTCATTTACCCTCCATTTCCTGGGTCAGCAGGAGGATGTGCTGCTGGGGACAAGGGGTCCTCAGTGCTCTCGACCTTGGATGGGCCCTTCCTCTTTCTGGTCTTACTTCGATGCTTCCTCTGTGCACCCAGGGCCTGCGTCCACGGCTGTAGGTTCTGTTCTAACTCCAGCATCTCACTTGCTCCTGCAAGAGAAGGCGGGGCTCCTGGGCAGACCCACTGGAGATGGCACCAGTGACACTTCAGGGGGCTGACCCACAGCCCTGAGCCTCAGTGTCCGCGTCCGTAAAACAGGCATGCCTAGATGCTGTGTCCCAGGCACAGGGGCACAACAAGCGTGAAAACCTGGTGCACATCAGACTCCGGGTGGACATTCCAGCCTCTCCAGGGCTGCCCCGGAGGGACACCAACCTGATGTTGAACCCCATCTGGAAACCACAGGAGCCCCTGGGCTCTGCACTGGCTCCGCTGGGAGGCAACTTTGGCCTGCAGTGGGGGCACTTGGCCTGAGGGGGGACGCCATCCCTGGGCACTCCTGGTCCAACTTCAGGAGGACTCTGGTCAGTAGCTGCTCTGTGGGGCTTCCGGGAGTCAGCAGGGAGAGGAGAGCCACGTCTGCACCCCACACAGAAGGGTCTGGAGCAAAAACCTCATTACCCCCCTTCACTGTCCCATCCCCAACCCCTGTCCCTTCGGCAACAGGGACATTCCACATGGGGTCCCTAGAGTAGTAGCATCACCTGGGCCCCGCCCCAGACCTGCCTCTAAGGTCTCAACAGGGAAGGGAAGACACTAATGCAGAATGTGGATCTCCCCGGGCCCCTCAACACTGATTCCCAGAGGTGACTTCCACGAACAGCTTTGGGCCAGCCTGGGACACTGCTCCTCGCCCACAGAAATGTGATTGCAGGTGCTGGAGGCTGTTCAAAATACACTTGCCTGAAGTGTAGACACCTTCAAACCTATCCTCCCTTCTCTTCTTAGCATACCCCTCAACAGCACCAGAACACCAGATCAGAATGCTGGCCCTATCACCTTGTAGCTGTGTGCCCCTGGGCAAGCATCCTAACCTCTCTGAGCCTGAGGTTTATCACCTGTAAAAGGTAGTTAATAACAGCTTTCACCACACAACGGTGTTGGAAGAATGAAGTGAGGCGCTTCCTGGGAAGGCATGGGGCAGTGCTTGGCCGAGCGACTACCCGCTGGAGGGCACCTGCTGCTAGGAGCCCTCGTGGATGTATCTGCCAACCACAGGTCTGGCCGCTCCCCGGAGCAGCCTTGGCCGCTTTATGTGGCGTGCAGCGTCTCTGCGGGGCGTGAGGCAAGAGAAGGGGCAAGTATGTGTCCGTAACTGTTGCAGTGCGTCCCAGTGCACGCTGTCCTAGCTGACCTCGGTAGGCCTGTTGCAGAGGTGCGCCCCAACACACTGTAATCCTCGTCCCCACACTCCAGAAAACGGCATCTGGGGAGTGCTGACCGGGGAGCAGGCAGAGCCGGCTCGGGGCCCAGTGTCTCTGCCTGGCACGTTTAAAGCATTTAAAACGGCACTTGGACACTGGAGGCTTCGCATGAATTCTGCATTTTTATCTTCTCTTGAAAGAGCCAAAGGACTGCAGAAGGCTGTCACTGCCCAGGCTGAGAGCCACTGCCCACTAGGTGCACTTTCCACGTCCCACCGTCCTCACCTCTCCCAGCTGCCTCCTGCGAGGGTGAGGGTCACTGATCACCTCACCTCTTCATTTACCGAACTTTCCTTGAAATAGGGCCCCTCAGGAGGGAAACCAGGCACCCGACTCTAATGGTGGAACTTCAGGTCTTGGGAGAGTGGAGGGCAGGGTGGGTGGCTTCCCCTGTCAGCCACCAAGAGCTGGCGAGCCAAGGCAGCCATTCAGCAGGGACTCAAGAAGGCTGGGTCTCAGTCGGGGCTAGTTCCCTGGTCTGTAAAGGGCAGGTGGCCAACGACGCCAGGGCTTTCCACCCAGCACTAGTGTGTCAGAGGCCATGTAAGCACAGGCATATGAAGGGGCAGAGGGCCTGCTCACACTCTGGTTAGAGACACCACGGTTGCCATGCACGTCACCTGTGGTGGGAAAGCAGGAAGGAAAACTGGAACATAAAGCAGAAAACCCACCTACCGTCACCACCACCATTTCCCACAAGAAGGACTTTTCTGTTTTATTTATTCATTTATTTTTGTGGTGCTGGGGACTGAGTCCAGGGCCTTGTGCATGCAGAGCAAGCACTCCACCACCTGAGCAACATCCCCAGTCCCCAAGAGGGACTTTTATCACCGAAGTAGAAAATATATAATCTCAGAATAAATACTCTACGTTTCTACAATCTTTACGTCTAATTTAGAAAAGTGTGATGTGTCCTACTGGCCTCTGATGCTTACTTGTTAAACACCACCTCCTAAAAACAGTTCATCAGTATGTTAAAGAACAAAACGCAGCGCTAGCCATTAGACTCTCAGGGTGGGAGAGATGGTCCCAGTAGGACTATAATTCTTAATTCTCAGTTTTCTAGAATTTTTCTGAAAATGCCCTTTGACCCTCAACTCTGTGGGTAGGAGTTTATAGGAAAGAAAATAATCCAGATGAGTGTACAGAGAACTAAGACAAACTTCATTACAGCTGTTTAAATTTATGAAAAGTTGGGAAAATTCTAAATATCATCACTAAAGAATCCGGTTTAAAAATCATGGCATAGCCAGGTATGGCAGCAAACACCTGGAATCCCAGCAGCTCAGAAAGCAGAGGCAGGAGGATCCCAAGTTCAAGGCCAGCCTCGGCTGCTTAGCAAGGGCCTAAGTGGTGTGTAGTGCAAGTGCATCACTAAAAAGTAATCCCTGGGCTGGGGGTGGCTCCGTGTTTAGCGCTTGCCCTGGGTTCGTCCCCAGCACTGGGAAAAAAAAAAAAAAACCCACCAAAATCGCACCATTGTTATTTCACCATCAGATGAGCTCTTGGTGCTTACCAGACGACATGCAGAATAGGATCCTTGTTCATTTTGTTCATTTAAAAAAATGGGGGGCAGGGGGGTGCGCTGCGGCTGTGGCTCAGTGGTGAGCACTTTCCCAGCATATGTGAGGCATGGGGTTGGATCCTCAGCACCCCATAGAATAAATAAATAAAGAAATAAAGGTATTATGTCCACCTACAACTTAAAAAAAAAAAAACCTCTCTATGAGGGCATTTCCCCAGAAAGCAGCCTGGGCCCTTCCACCTGGGGAGCAGCCCTGAGCAGCTTCTTTTACTCCTACAAACCTTTCTGTGTTTTCTGAAATATTCTTTTTATTTTTTTTAGTTGTTGATGGACCTTTATTTTATTGGCTTACTTATATGTGGTGCTGGGAATCGGACGGAGTGCCTCGCACGTTCGAGGCAAGCGCTCTGCCACCAAGCTACACCCCCAGCCCCTCCGAAATATTCCTGATCCTGGATCTTCCTTTAAAATCAAGCTCAAGACGCTTGGGGGTGGACCTGGAGTGAGGGGCAACTCTGCTGAGCTCCCGAGGCTACTCCTGCGGGTGGCGTACGTCCTGTGACCCTTCCCACAGGACAGGGCCCGATGCACTGTGTGGCCTGCCCTCCCCAGGCCCCTGCTGGGCTCCCCGTGGCCACACTCTGGACAGTGCACGCAGGTCGAGGCCCTCCTAGCACATGCAGGCAGAGTCTCCACTCTGGGAGGGAAGGAGGTTCCAAGTCTCGGGGTCCAGAGCGCCTGAGTGAAGAGCCCTGGGAAGGCACATAGGGCTTAGCAGACGGGTGGCCTGGGGACTCCCGGGATCCCTGCTGCGCCGGCTTTCCCCTGCGCAGGCCCTGGGCTGTGTCCGCCATCTCCATCCAGTGGCTCAGTCAGGGTCTCTCTCCCTGTGTCCCTAGGCCAGGTCTCCAAGTCAGAGGGCACCAGGCAATCTCCCATCAACATCCAGCGGAGGGACAGTGTCTACGACCCCCATCTGCAGCCGCTCAGAGTGTCCTATGACCCCGCGTCCTGTCGGTGCATCTGGAACACCGGCTACTTCTTCCAGGTAGAATTTGACGATGCTGCTGAGCAGTCAGGTGAGTCTGTCTGGCTGGGGGTCTGTCTCCTCTTCTGTTGCACCATGAGTGGGGTCACAAGTTTAGGAAGGGGGGATGAGAGCAGTACCCTTCCTTCCTGACACCGTGTCGGCAGGGAACAGGAGGCCCAGGAAGACTGAGGGAAGGGGCCGGGGACAGGGAGATGATGCCCCCTGAGGAGGGGAGGCCCCTTCACCTGCCCAAACGCAGGTTTAAGGGGACGAGCCTTGCTGAGGTGGGGCAGCTCCCTCTAGGCTGGGCAGAGGTCAGAGCCAGGCGGCCTGGTGGCACACTGTGGGTGCCACTTCTCAGGTGAAGCTGCTGAGCGCAGAGCTGGGAAGCTCAGACCCCCAGCCACCAGCCAAGGCCAGATGGCACCCTGTCACCCCAGCAGCCTCTGGGCTCCTTTTTGCTCTGTGCGTGAGGAATTCCCACATTAATTACGGCTTCTTTCCTATTGCAAGTGGCAGACACACAACTCCAACTGGCTTAAGCAAAGAGGGAAATTCGTTGCGTCCCCAGGACAGGGCCATGTCCGGGGTGTGTAGCCCCACAGCCTGCATCTCAGCGCCCTCTCTGGGCTCTGCTCTCTCTGGTGGCCTCAGGCTGGCTTGGGCTTGGCCATGACTTTCCTGAGGGTGGCAAAGGTGAAAGTTCAACCTCCCTCAGAGCAAGCAGCAAAGACCCTCCCAGCAAGTCAGCCACAGTCCTGGGCTGAAGCTGCAGTCCCAGCCTCGGCCACCGGCCTGGGCTGAGTGGATCACAGTGACTCTGGCTAGCCGGGGGATGACCCAGCCCTGGAGCAAGCTGTGGCCAAGAGCGGAGGCAAGTGACTCCCCTCAGGACCGCAGGAGTGAACAGAGTAAGAAGGAGGTCCCCGGGACATGGCGGCCTCCCGTGACCAGAGCGCCCCTGCTGTTAGGCCGCAGCCACTGTGTAGCTACTCCTGTCTGTGTAAAATGGGCCCCAGCCAGCGTCGAGGACCCCTGCTAAGTGCTGACCCGCTCTTGCCAACTGCTGCCCGGGATGGGAGACCGAGTCCACGCTGCGTGGTTTCCTCCCGCCAGCCACTAGGGACCTTGAGCACTCCTTTCTCAGTCCCCAAAACATTCACAGTGGCGGCCACGGCTCTCTACCAGCAGGCCTGGGGACAATGTTCTCCACCGGCACAGTGCCAAGGTGGCCTGCTCAAGAGCTCAGCTACTTGACACTCAGGCTTGGAACAGAGCATGCGTCACTGGGGGACCTGGCTCCACAGCCCAGGGCAGACACGGGTGCGTCCTCACGCGTGACATGTCCACTTTGTGCAGACTCAACATCCAGCGCCTGAGGCTCCCGTTGCTTGGCCACCGCAGGCTCCTTCTTGCCCCCCAGCCCTACCTCCCGAGTGTCCTCTGCACAGACCCCACGTCCAGCCCCATGGAACGTCCATCTGTCTATGCGACCTGCTCTCCTTCCCCCTGTTGTCCTCTCACCCTAACACCGTCTCCATCTTCACCTAATGAACACAGACTCATTCCTTGGGGCTCAGCTGGGACGTCACCCCCACAGGAGGCTGTCCTTGTGTCCTGGCCAGTGTAGTGTAGGTCCCCCACAGCAGCCCTCCTTGCCTGGCATAACACTCCTGACCCTGTTCCCGTCACTCTCTCCTTCTCTGTCCCCGCAGAGCACAGGCTGCTGGAACTCGTCCCACAGTACTGAGCGCATGCACAGCTCGGTGTGAGTGAGAGGTTTCTCCTTTGACACGTCCACAGCTGGCCAGGTGCCTTCTGATGGACGCTTTCCTAAGGTGTGCTTCTCCATCCATGTCTCTGCTTCCTTCCTGTTTGGGGGGCAGTGGCTGTGGCAATGGCAAGTCTCTGCTTGGGTGACAGTGCAGTGGCCTCAGTGGTGGCAACCCCGGCGGCTCTGACAGCAGTGTTGCTGTTCCCTGGGCTCCCACTCGTGACAGGCACCGGGCAAGGCCACACCTGCAGCTGGGCCTCTGCCTTCATGTTCCATGAAGATGTAGCCAGAGTGGACCTCAGCACATGGCCCCAGAGGCTGGGCTCAAGTCCACCTGGCTTTCAGACCAGAGGTGACACTGACGGCCTCGGAGCTGACTCCCCGGGGCACGTGAGCTCCTGTTCTGGAGCTCTGGGAGGGCCTCTCTGCCAGGCCAGCACAGGTGAAGCCCTGGCCCCCAGCTGTGGCCCTCACGGGCCTGGGAGAGTTGTGAAGACCTTCCTCTGCCCTGTGATGGCCACTTGGCCCCCTGGTGGCCCCCTGTGGCACGGCGTGATGTGGAGTTTTCACGGTCTTCCATCTTGTTTTGTCTTTAGCAAGTCCTGGGACTGAAGCTTAGGGCACTTCACCAAGCCACACCCCAGCCCTTTGTATTTTGAGACAAGGTGTGGCTAAGTGGCTCAGGCTGGCCTTGAACGTGGACCCTCCTGCCTCAGTCTCTCCAGGAGCTGGGATTACAGGCGGGCACCCCAAGCCCAGCTTCTTTTATTCCAGTGTTTAGCCTTAAAACCGCAGGGTCTGACCAAAGCCTGCTTATTCTGGTAAAAGCCCTGAGCTGTGGGTACTGTCAGCAGCGTCCTGGTGGCAGCAGAGGCTGTATTATCCGAGGCCACCAGTGCCAAAGCCTGCTGGCGGAGGGTGTGGAGTGGGGCTGGCACGCTAGAGCCCTTCCCCTGAGGACCTCTTTTTGAACTAAAGGACTGCCCTGACACCGAGCGGCACTCTGAAGGGTCAGTCAGAAATCGTTTCATCTGAGTCTGTGGCCTCAGGCTGGGTTCAGCTTACTGGCAAGTGGCACTTGGCTCGAAGCCTGCTGTGAAAGCTGGGGGATCAGCAGACCTGGCTCGGGTCACTGGGTCCTGGGCAGGTGACAACTCCCTGAGCCTCAGTTTCCTGACTGCAGTTAGGCTGCTCTGCGGGTCAGAGCGCGGGTCAGTCTGTTGGGTTCACAAAGGTCCCTGCCCAGTGCCCGGGCAGAGGCGCTCCGGACCTGCCCGCTAGCCGTGCTCACAGCACGCACTGAGAGTCCTGCACCGCGGGACCTGCATGAGCAGGGGAGGGCACGCGGAGAACCCGGGACACGAGACCCTGGCCACTGAGAGCCGGGCTCGGGCTCGGCCCGCGTCCCAGAGGGGAGCCAAGGCCGGGAGGGGTGGATTCCTGCACCAGGCTCCCAGTGGAGGAGCCAGGTGAGCCTGGAGACCCAGTCCTGACACTGCGCCGCAGTGTGCTTACGGCAGAAAGCCACAGAACAGGGATTTCCAGTCTTTAAATAAACACCCTGGCCATTGGCTGGCGGCTGTCTTGCCAGTCAGTCCTAATTTTGGAAACATTGTCACGGTGGGAATCTTCTGTTCCAACTTGAACATGCCCAAGCTGTGGCCCCTCCCTGGCCGCCCCTCCCCGGCTTTAGCTGCAGAGGCTCCTCCTGGCCTTCTCCAGCAAGGGCTGTGCTTCTGCTCCCGCCCTTTCTCCTGGAAGGCCCCCCCATTCCTGGTCCGTTTCCACCTACGTGCCACCAGGGGGCGCTCCAGCCCAGCCCAAGACCCAGGAACCCTCAGCCCGTTTCCTTACAGAGACTTGGGGAGACCAGGCCAGCCTTTCACACTCCCTCCCAGCAGAGCTGCGCAGGTGTCTCCCCTGGTTTTATTTAATTACGCAGCAGTTTTTGTTGTTGTTCTGTTTTGGTTTTTGGTGTGTGTGCGAGCTGGCTGGGTCTCCAGCCCGGGGTAACCATGGTTTCAATCAAGACCCTTGTTTACACGCAAGTGAGCAGACGCCCGCCGTCTGCAGAACAGGCCCCGTGAAGGAGGAACATTCTGCCTTGCCATGGGAAGGTGCCCAGGATCCCAAAGGACAGACTCCGACTGAAAGTTTCTTACTTAAATGGGTGTTGTGTTTTGCTGCTGGTGAGGCGTTTCTGTGAAGCGTTCTGGGCAGCTGGGCCTCTGGGGAAGAGTGCTCACAAATCCAGGCCCCGCGGCGTCCTGCTGCAGGGGCCAGAGCCAGCCTTCTGGGGTCCAGGCCGACCTGCAGGGCTTCACGTCCCTGAGGAGGGCAGGGCTTCACGTCCCCGAGGAGGGCAGGGCTCGGCAGTCGCCTGCACCTCCCTGTCTCTGGGCTGTGCTCCTGCTCTCCGCTGCTCGGCAGGTCTAGGTGACTCCTGTTTCTCCTAACCCAGCTGCAGGCCCTGGAGGATAGAGCCGGCCGCAGAGCCAAGCCCTTCCTCTGCCTCCGGACACGGCAGAGCCAAAGCGCCCAGCGGTCCCCACCAGGAAGGAGGGCCGGGCGACTTTGTGGGTAAGCCCTGCTGGTGGAAGTCCAGCCGCGTCCAGCTGGTGCAGGACCCATGCTTTTCTGGGGACATCATTCCTTAGGGAGACCTGCTCCTGTGCCTACCCAGGGTCCTAGGATGTGTGAGCTGGAGGGGACAACGAGCAACAGCTGGCAGCTCTTTTTTAAAAATAGTGAAGGAGTTGGAGTCCTGAAAGGCTCTGTGATGTGTGGTCACCACCAGCATCGTCACCATCACCTGACAGCATCTCACAAAGTGACAGTGTCTCCGTTTTCCTGCCAGCAGGCCTCCTTTTAGAGGTAGAGATGATCTGGCTCAGAGAAGCTAAGCCACCTGCCCAAGATCACACAGCGAGTTGGAGGCAAACTCGACTTGCCAATCCAGTCTTTGAGTACTTGTAGTGTCCTGTGGATTCTTCTAGAAATCCTAGACAGTTCCCAAGCTGCCTGGAAAAAGGCAAAATCCCACTGTGACACACAGACCTGCTTATCCAGTGGCTGGATGACTGGACAAACAAGTCGATGACCATTCCCATTCCTTCCTTCACCTGCAGGGGTCCACAGGCACCTTCAAGGACCCTTCCTTGAACTAAGTGCTGAACCGGGTGGAAAGAGAAAGGGGCCTTGCCCTGAGATATGACAGGGTGACCCTTGGCTGGGCCTTGTCAACTGCATCCACCAGATTGCATCCAGTCCAGCTGTCCAGGGCGTCAGCATAGAGAGGATGCTGTCATGCGCGGCTGTCCCCGTGGTCCCTCCAGCTCGCCCCCCCTGTGGCTAACAGGTGCATCTGGTGCCGTGAGGACCCTGGGGTGGCCAGGACTGCTATCCCTTCCAGGGGGCTCTCCTGGCCTGGCAGAATTGGCCAGCCGCGGCGGCTCACACCCCATGCCTTCTGCTGCGAGGACTTCCTGTGAGGACAAATGCACTGGGTGCTCCGTGACATCCTTCACCCAGGGACATTCCCCTGTGCTGGCCACTCCGGGACCTGACAGCAGCAAGGCCCGGGAGGGCCATGCAGAGCACACTGTGCAGCGGGTGAAGCCGGCCCCGCGAGCTGCCAGAGCCACTCCCCAGCTCTGCAGCCAGTACCGCGCAGTGGCCGTCCCCGGGCACCAGGCACTCCTTCCGGCTGAAAAGGAGAAGCCCGACTGTCTCCACATGAGCAGCAACTAGGGTTGAACCACAGGAGTCTGCCGAAGTGCAGATCCCAGCCCTGCCCTGGACTGTGGAGCCAGTTCCCCCAGGGATCCAGGCTGTGTTCTGAGCCTGAGTGTCAAGCTAGCCAAGCTCCTGAGGAGGCCACCCTGGGCACTGTGCTGGTAAGCACCACCGTAGCCCGAGGGGAACTCAGAGTCACAAACTGCGCTTTCATTCGCAGGGATCAGCGGGGGGCCTTTGGAAAACCACTACAGACTGAGGCAGTTCCACTTCCACTGGGGAGCAGTGGACGAGCGGGGCTCGGAGCACACGGTGGACGGCCACGCGTACCCGGCCGAGGTTCGTAGGTGACGTGGGCCAGGCAGCGCGAGTCCCGGTGTTTTCCATGTGCCAGGCTCTCCTGCAGATGCCAGCCTTCCCAGATGCCCAGATGTGAGGCACTTCCTGGGACCCAGGACTTTCAGTGCTCCGGGCAGAGCAGTTAGCATCCACCACCCACTTTATCACACCATTGTCCAAAGAGGAGGGTGATGCAGGCATGCTCAGTTAGCAGAAGAAGAGACAGGGGGTCTGAATGGTGATGATCATCACAGTGGAGTGGTCAGTGGTGACTTTCAGACACAGAAAGAACTGGACCAGCATCCATGAGGCTGCCATCTCCACCCTGTGAGTACCACACTGCCTTGTCCACTGGTCACACCACTGTCCCCACTGAACCCTGAATCTGTGTGCCTCCCAAGTGACGGGTTGGTTTGGTTCATCTTGTCCCATGGTGCCCATGGGGGATGTGTGCCTGAGCTCTGCCTGCTGGCACCTCTGCTCTTGCACACAGAGGCACTGCAGGGTGGGCTGTGGTCCTCCTCCCCTGAGTGTTCCTCGACTGCCAGGGTAACAAGTGAGGGCAGGGGACCCACGGGGCTGTCTCCGAGTCAGGCTGGGCCTGGTCCCTGCTGGCCGTCTCTGGGGTGTGGAGGTCAGGTGGGAAGGCAAACCTGGCTGCAAAGAGGGGGTCTGTGAAGGGGAATGACTCAGGGGGGCCTGCGGGCCCTGCAGCCCCCATTTCTAGGGCCTTGAGCCCCAGCCGCGGGGAGCTCCAGGTGGGCAGCGTCAGACACACCCTGGATCCCAGGGGCTCGTGGCCAGGCAACTGGCTCCTGCTGGGAGTGAGGTCTGCGAAGAGCACATGGGCCCAGTGCCTCGGCAGAGTGCAGTGCTGGCCAGAGAGGGCTCCTCAGCACCCAGGAGCCCAGGGACTCGAGGCCTGGGCCACCTCTAAGCCAGGCACTTAGCAGAAACACGAACACTCGTCCCTGGGTCCTGCAGGGCACTGGCCCCAGTACCCTTGGGTACCAACCCGCCAGTGCTCAAGCCCATCATGTGCCTGTGCGCAGGATTCATCCCGTCCTGTAGGCTCTAGGCCATCTGCAGGTCACCTGCCACCCACACCAGAGTTCTGCTCCTTCAGCCCAGACACAGCATCTTGACCCAAGGCCTTTAATCTGCGGTGGTCTGAATCCCCCAGTGTAGCTCCCAAGACAGAGGGCCAGCTGCACAGAGGCCCAGGCCCTACTGGGGAGCCACACCATCCCCTGGACACTGGCCAACCTCCCACTCCCACTCCCGTGAGGGACCCCTCCCCAGCTCACCCCCAGCCTCCAGGCAAACCCATCTCATCTGCCAACTCTGGTGTGGAGTCCAGCAGACGCCCGCCACCCCAGATCCATTTTCCTACATCAGAAACTGAAGGAGTGTTAGAGCCACAGGCGAAGTTCAGGGCTGGGCTCCAGGGTCAGGAGGGGGCAGCATCTGGGACCCACTTGCCCTGTTGCAGTCCTGGGCTGTGTCTGGCGTAATCCCGTGGCCCTCTTCTACCTTGTAGTCACAGTGGCCTCCGCCTTGCCCCATGCCTGTGGCCTTGACAAGTGCCTGGGAGCCCCAGGGTGCTGGCCTCCTGCGCGCCGGGCGGCCATAACACGATTCACTAACGTGATGAAGTGGCCCCTGTGTCAGCCCCATGGAGGCCGAGCGCCTGGTGTTTCCAGCCGCACCCGACGCTCACACCTGGCCACTGTGTTTCAGCTGCACCTGGTTCACTGGAACGCTGTGAAGTACCCAGCTTACGAGGAAGCTGTCCTGGGGGAGAAGGGCCTGGCCGTGCTGGCCGTGTTCCTGCAGGTAAGGACACCCGCAGGGCTGCAGCACTGGGCGGCCCCTCTCACAGCCCCACACAGAGGCATGTTCTCAGCCCCCTCCCTGCTCACGTCTGTGCCTGTGCCATGCAGGTGGGGGCCCGCCACGAGGCCCTGCAGAGGCTGGTGGACGTCTTGCCAGAAATAAAGCACAAGGTGAGTTCCATGTCTGGGGAGCAGCTAGCTGGACGGGCGGACTGTTCAGAGGAGCCCCCGTGGGCGGGGAGGGTGCAGTGGCAGGGGCATGTGGCACCAGCGCTGTGCTGGGACTGGGGTGGGGTTCCCAGTGGGTCCTGCCTGGCTCCGGGAGGCCCTCTCCCCTCAGGGACTCGCAGTTGTACTGCTGCCCCCAGACCCCGTTCTTCCTCAGCTCGTCTGCTGGGGTCGATTTGGGTGTCCCAGGATCAGGCAGCTTTCTGAGGGTCGGACACTCCTGCCTGCCCGTGGGACTGCCCTTATCATCACTGATTTGCTTTTAAAAGTCTTTAGCTTGGTCGAGGCGATGACATCCACTGGTCATAAAGTTCCTTCTAAAGCAAATCAGAACCTCACTCCTGACCCTGTGCCACCGGGCATGCTCTGGGAAGGTCTTAATTCAGATCACCCCTGTCCTGGAGAACATGGAGTCCAGAGAGGGAAGGGAAGCTGTGGTGTGGCCAGCAGCCCCGGGCCCGGCTGGTCCTGCCTGTCCCTACAGGCGCCCTTTGCACACCTTAGTCACTGGCATGGCTCAGAAAGGTGACAAGGAGAACAATGTTGCTTTTCTCCAAGGTCAGCCCAGAGGGGACTTTGATGGAGAGGTGGAAATTCCAAAGAAAAGGGTTTATTTATTTAGTACCGAACAAAAGAGTCCCCAGGAGGAAGGAGCCAAGGTGGCCGCCGGAGTGGCGGGGGCTCTTCCCCCTGGGCCGCAGGGCCGAGTGGCTGCACTTGAAAGCCAGGCAGCCCCTTCCTTGCCAGCCGTAGAGGCTTTGATCTCCCACCTCCTCCCCTTGGTGCTGACCTCCAAGCCGGTCGCTTCCCCCCTCAGAGGGCCTCAAGGCCAAGGTGCCAGGCCCCTGCCAGAATAAACCTGGGGTGCGGATGTTTCCCAACCAGCCCCCAACCCGGGCAGGGTGGGCTCCACCTCTTGGTGGGAAAGAAGAAAGCTGGCGGCACAGCCATGTTTATGGGGGTCTGATTTCCTCCCCTGGGTCTGCAGAGCTCTTCCCCCATGAGCTCACACAGAATGTTCTGGGCAAACCCCCAGGGAGCCCTGGGTTGGGGACTATCGAGGAAGTGCTGCCAGGGCTTAGTTCTGGTTCCAATGCTGATCGCTGGGCCACAGTCTCCCCATGAAGAATAAGGCCGAGACTCCAGAGATGAGGGGACTTTACGAGGCGGAGGCCAGCCTTGGAGGGCCTCAAGGTCAGGGGATGGGAGGCACCTGAAGGTCACCTGGCCCAGCTTTCCGGTCTGCAAGCCTCGACTTCTGGGCGTTCCCACAGCAGCACAGTGTGAGCAGAGCCCTGGGGCAGCCCTTCAGAGGCTGATCCACCAGTTCTGAGCCGCGGGGCTCAGGGCAAGTACTCAGCCTCTCAGAGCCTGGATGCCCGCTCTGTGGAGACACAGCAGGGGGCACACCTGGGCTTCCTGATCAGGCGGTCCCCAGGGGAGGGGAGGGCAGACCCACACCTGCTGCCTGACGCCTGGGGACTGCTACTCAGCACTGAGTTTGAGTCCCCTGGCTGCAGTGGCCTTTGTCACGACAGTGCTCTTCCTTAGCTACCCCAGCGTTGTGCCCTTGGAGAGTCCTTGAGACTCGGAGACCACAGCCTGGAGGGCAACTCTGACTCCCAGTGGTTGGGCGGTAGTAGGAGTGGCTCTGGGCCGGGTGGCTTGCTGTGCCACTCACTCCGGGTACTCTGTGAGTCCCTCCCCAGGGGGGGCCACCTGAAGCAGCCCACTCCTCCCTGGGGTTCCAAGCTCAGGAGACCAGTCACTTGGCACCACCACTCCTCCAGGCCAGGCTGCCCTGAGCCCAGCACCAGAGCTGGGAGACAACCGGCAGGGATCCAGGTGTCCCTCCCTGCTCCGGCCCTCCCCCGGGGCCTCCTAAGCACAGCGGCTCAGGGCAACCACTTCGACAGGGTGCTCCGGCCTCAAGAGCACAGCTTCAAGAAGGAGACAGGTGGACTCACGGTCCCTTCCATGCCTTGGCTTCCACAGCCACCCCGCGTCACTTCTGTGACGTCCTGCCCACCACCCAGCCATAGGAACCTGCCTGGGCTCAAGCGGGGAGACAGCACCTCCAAATTTTGCTGGGAGGGAAATGATAGCACTCTACATAGGTCTCATCTTCAATCTCTCAAATGGCCCCATGGGTCCTTCCTCTGGGTTAGGACTCTCACCTCTTGGGGAACCAGAGGTCAGTGAGGCGAGGAACCTGCCCTGGGGCATACAGCCAGTAGGTGGGGACAGTTCATCGAGGGCAGTGCCACCTGCAGCCAGCCACCAAGACGCCCTGCATCACAGCGCCCGCCGTCTGGGCCCCCACACAGCTCCAGCGCCCTCCCGCTGCGCCCTCCGCCACTGCCCTTTGCTCCTGCCCCGGAGTTTTGCCTTTTCTCCCCAATTTCACGCTCTCTGGCTGAGTCCTGTGGACTTTCGTGTGGAACGCCCATCCTAGGAAAGTAGGACAGCGGCTTACGGACCAGGACAGTGGTGTTACCGCTGTTGACCGCTTCCCCAATGTTGAAGTATAACACCAGAGAAGCACGCCGAGGCGAGGTCAGAGTGGAAAGTAGAGGTTTATTAAAGGACAGCAGAAAAGACTTCTCCTGGAGGAAGAAGGGGACCAAGAGATGGAATCCGTGGAAGTGCGGTGGTCTCCCCACTTATAGTTCCTTCAGTGATGGAATGTAGGTGGGAAGGCCCGAGGGTGGGGCCCAGGTGGGCCAAAGAAGTCATCTGGGCAGGAAGGACTTCTGAGTCAGCATCTTCAAGTTTGCTGGGAGCTGTTCATTAACACTTCTTTGGGATGGGCTCTGGGCCTTGGGGACATTAACATTCCAGGAGTTGTCCTGCATTTCCTGGACTTCATTAACATTCCAAGAGTTGTTCTGCTTTTCCGGGAATTCATTCTCAACCTGGCCTCCATTTTGGATCTTACTCGATATTAGACCCGATTTATCTAACTACACGGACTACCTGACTTTAAATCTGGCTTCAGTGGGACCCTGGAGTAGGCGCCTTTACCCCATGGCCACCCCACACACCGGGTGCCCCAGTGTCGCCTTCTAGCCAGGTGCCTTGAGGTCCTTGAGGAAGGGCCTTGACGTGGGGGGTCATCTGCGGTGGAACATGACCAGAGCATTCACACATGCACACACAGTGTGACCAGCCCCGAGGACACGTGCAGGGGCAGAAGGCCACATGTCCGAGACCCCTCACATCCAAGACACCCAGCACCAGCAACCCCGGAGCTGGGAAGCAGACCGGCACCCCGGTGAGGGGTCCTCTGCGGTGAGAAGACCAGGATGTGGGGTCCCACACTGCACTGTTCAGGCCCGAGCAGGAAAGCGGGCCCCCACTTCAGTGTGGATGACACATGAGGACGTTAGCTCAGGGGAATCGGCCAGCACAACCGACCGAGCGCAGGCCTCCACTCAGGGAGGTACGTGGAGTGGTCACCACCAGCCAGCAAGGGGCACGGTAGACACCAGGGCTCCCTTGGGGAGCTGGTGGGTGGGATGGCGTTGGGTGTGGAGGGTGGCACAGTCCCAGAGCCCAAGATGGCTGCACAGCGGGGGACGTGCAGGTGCCCTGCTGCCTTGGTAAAAGCCGGTGGGGACCAGCGCGTCCCCGTGTTTCATCACAGTAGAGCAGTGTGAGCTTTCCACGGCCAGAGGCATGAGAAGGAGCGCTTTCCAGGGAAGTCGTGAGTCTGGGTGGAAACCTCTTGTCCCTGCTTCAGAACTAGGCAGTGGCAGCTGCCTAGAGTGGCCTGTTGGGGAAGTACCTCCCCCGACGCAGGGCGGTCGCCCCACTCCCCCGATCCAGCACTGACACCATGGCCCCCCGGTTCTTGCTCCCAGGACATGCGGGCGGCCATGGGCCCCTTCAGCCCCTCCTGTCTGCTGCCTGCCTGCCAGGATTACTGGACCTACTCGGGCTCCCTCACCACCCCGCCCATGGCAGAATCTGTCACCTGGATCATCCAGAAGCAGCCCGTCGAGGTGGCTGCAAGCCAGGTGAGTGGGCTGGGACGGGGTCGTGGCCTGTGTGGGGGTCTCCTCCTGGGGCAGCTCCACTAAACTCTGTGCAGGAGCACCCTGGAGCTCGCCCTCGGGCACCACTGATGTCCCTGCCCTGCCCTGACTGGGAGGAATCCCAGCTGTGTGGGCTGGTGGAGAAGGCGCCGGGCTCCGCCTGTCACGGGTCTCCTGACACGGAGCTGCTGGGGTTAGGGTTAGGGTTAGGGTTGGGGTTGGATTGGGGGGAGATAGCTGGACCCTCGCAGTCCCTGAGCCCAGTGTTTGCACAGGACCTGCTCACGTCCCCAATATACCCCAGGTCATCCCTCGGTTACTTCTAATACTTAACACGACGTAGGTGTCATGTAAATGGTTCTTTGTTCGGGGATAATGAACAGAGGAAATGTCTGCACATGTTCAGTACAGACAGAATTTTTTTGGGGGTAGTAGTTTTAACTTCTGCATTGGTTGAATCCGAGGATGCAGAACCCACAGATGTGGAGGAGTGGCAGTGTGCGCTAGTCACCTATGACTGTGTAACAAAGAGCTCCAAACTTAATCACTGATAGTGGGTATTTATTTTCTCTCAAAGTCTCTGTGGGCTTAGGAACTGGCTGGTCCTTGCTTGCAGTCCCTTGTGGGGTTACGGTGCCCTGCGAGCAGGAACTGCTCCCTCCTGACAGCTCGGTGGGGGCTGGAGGACTCATCCCCAGGTGCTGGCACAAGGCTGCTGGCTGTTGGATGGGGGCCTTACTTCCTGTCCTTGTGGCTGTCCCCGGGGCTTTCGAGTATTCATATGGTAGATGGTTTCCTCCAGAGAAAGTGGCCTTAAAGACCAAGCTGCCAATCGTGATGCCCTCTAAGACCTTCCCTTGGGAGCCGCCTGGCATCACGTCCAGTGTCCTCCACACAGGGCCATCCCTGATCTGGCATAGGAGGGGCCTGTGCAAGGTGTGAGGGACCCAGGGGCAGGACGGCTCCCTGCACTCTCCGTGGCTCTCTCTTCCAGGTCTCCGCCTTCCGGGAGCTCCTGTTCTCCCCGCTCGGTGAAGAGGAGGAGATCATGGTGGACAACTGTCGCCCACGCCAGCCCCTGATGGGCCGGAGGGTCCGCTCGTCCTTCAGGCCACTGAAGTGGGGATGAGGTCCTAGAACCATCATGTCCACATAGTAGGCAGCGCGGACCGTGCGAGGGCTCCCACTCTGCTGACTGTGCTTCTCGGATTAAAAGAGAGGAAGAGTGTTGTCCCCATGATGTGCTTCTAAGTTGCAAGGGAAAGAAATCACTAAGGACGCCTCAGAGCACAGGGAACAGATGCTGAATGTCCTTGTCTTGTGGGACCCAGGGCAGGCAAGTAGAAGGTGGTCCCCGGGGCCAGCAGCCACCCAGGCCAAGGCTGCCCACTCGCCTCTCTCAGCTATACTCGTCCCCCTGCGTAGGGGTGTCCTCCACTGTCCACTCTCAAGGCCACCCCAGAGTCCCCACACCACACAAGACCAGGACTAACACCCTTCTCCCCAGTTCCAAGTCCCTGGGGGTCTCAGAGTCCTTGGCCACTGGAACACAGAAGGAGGGACTGTGTGGCCTAGAACAGTGGTGAGCTCCATTTGGGAAGCCAGGGGTCTGAAGTCGGGGTGTCTCAGGGCTGCGTCCCTCCAGAGGCTTCCACCATTGCCTCTCTGGTTAAAGGACCCTTGCGATCATGTGTCCACCAGATCATCCAGGATGACCTCCCGTCTCAAGCCCCTCAGATTGATCCCCTCTGTGGGCCCCCTTTTGCACACAAGGTCTCATAGCCACAGATTCCAGGATTAGGGTGTGGACATCTCCAACTCCGAGACCCGCACTGGGGCGGGTGGGGGCTGGAAGGGGCAGGAGGAGGGGCACTCCGCATCTAGGCTGGGGGGCCCCTCCCTGCCTGCTCTTGGCCTCTGGCCCCTGCCTCAGCTCCTCTGCACTGCGGGAAGGCAGAGGCCCACTGCGCCCAGGCCTCAGAAGCCCCTGTGCTCCCCAGGCGCCGTCCTGCCGCAGCTGCCACCCTGGCTTCCTGCAGTCTCTAGGCCAGGCCCTGACCCTGTGCCTTGGGCTCCTGCAATGACTGTCCCACCTTCCTCTGCCTAGCCCCTCACCTTGCCCCATGGGGCTGGGTCCTGCTGCCTCCTGCCTCCACCTGGAGTCCCCCGGCCTCTGCACCAGCCTCCGCCGCCGTCCTGCTCCAGGCCTTACCCTGTGTCTCCCAGGACCTGCTGCCAGGTGTGCTCTGTACTTACTGCTTCTGCCTCAGGGAACTTAAGCTCCTTGGGACAAGGACAATTGAGCCATCTAGGACAGAGCCTGGCTCGCGGCCGGGGAGGGGTGCTCGGTGAATCTCTGTTAGTGAATGAAGGGCCAGCTCAGAGCTCCTGGCAGCTCCTTCCACTGAGGGGACTGGCCCACCAGGAAGCCGGCCGGCCACAGCTCCAGCCCTGGATCCAGACTGGCCGCTGCTCCACCTGGGCAAAGTGTGAGCCAACAGCTGCCCTCTGCCTCACAGCAGGAGTCTTTGTGTTTTTTCCTGATCATGTGCATAGATAAAATCCCCACCAACATAATATCTTTATTTTATAGCATTAAAATTCTTCCTTCAGGGGAGACGGGGTTCTGCAAACAACCTAATGGCCCTCTCTGAACATCAGCTCACTGTCAGATAAACAAGTAGATGCTGCTGTCTGTCCAGCCCAGTGATGACCCCTGTGGCTCTGGGGACACAGGATAAACCCTCACTGAGCTCCTCAAACAGCCTCAGGGATCAAAGTGGGCGCTGCACCTGCAGCTTCCCTTGGCAGAGGCTGGGCCTGTTCCGTCTCAGGCCTTCCTGTGGTGGCCGTGACCGGCAGCCTGGCCCCAGCCGAAAGCAGCAAGCAGCTTCCTGGAGCACATCTCTTCCTGCAGAGACCAACGCCTGCGCCCGGCGATGGCCGCCCCTGGATGTCCAACCAGGAGGCCACAGAACTCTCCTTGTTTCCCAGGGGCTGGGTGACACCTGGGTGGCCTGGAGCTGGTTCCGACCCTGGATCCTGTCTCTGGGACAGGTGGAGGTATTCTTCGGTGTACTTTGGACACCCAAGTATTTCTTGTCATTTGGGAAAGTGCAGCCATTGCTGATCCTCTGGCGACGGGGCTGCCCTCCGTGTGAATGTGAGTTCGTGGCTCCGTGGCCTCTCGTGGGCCCAGGTCGGCTCCTAGGGTTCTGGAGGTCAGAAGCCCCAAATCTTGCACTGAGTGGCGTCAGGACGTGGGTGCCTTCAGGAGGCCCCGGCCCTGCAGTTGCTCAGCCCCTGCAGACAGGACACCAGCCCTGGGATGGGACCAGAGGGCCTCTGGCACTAGTGAGTGTCAGGGTCACCAGCATCACCAGGAGGCCCGCCCCTCCCAGGCCCCAGGTGTTGGCTCAAGGCTGTGTTTAAAAAAGAAAGTGTTTTGCTTTTAGAAGATCATGTCTGTGTCCTGTTGGCCGAGAGGTCATGCTGGCCTGGGTGTCCAGACACAAGTGGGAAAGCAGAGGTCTGCTGCAGGTGCTCCTGCCCTGCTCCTGTGACCGGCTCCCCTCACTCAGGACCTTTCAGTGAGGAATGTCTGCCCGCTGCAGGCCGCGCAGGCACCAGAGGCTGGGCACACAGCTGGCTGCACTCCCGCACCAGGCTGACCTTTCCCCACACACTCGGTCCTCATCCACCGCAGGCCAGGGTCAATGGGGAGGCCGCCCTCATCCTGAAGCACACAGTGCTGTCATTTCCAAATCTCTCCAGGTGGCTGCGTGGCGTAGGAGGGACAAGAGCTGTCAGGAGTCCTGCCAGTGTCCCCTGAAGCCCTTCCTTTCCTAGTGGGGAAACCGAGTCTCACTTGCAAGGCTGAGAAGCCTGTGGGTCTCCCCTAGGCATGGGGCCGGGCAGCTCATTGCTCCTGCCCTTCAGTGTGTGCGGTTAGTAAAGGAAACGCGTGGAGTAGAGCCCAGAGGACAGCGTCCACCATGACTGCAGCCACAGGAAGGCCCATCAGAGAGGAGCGCCTGCGCCACCACGTGCCCCAGGAGGTGCCACCCTGCTGGCTCTGGAGGGGCGAGATGGAGGTCGGGTCTCGGGGTCCAGCTCTGGTGGCGACAGAATCTACAGCCAACTCTCCACAAGCTGTCCGTTCCCAGGGACCCGGGGACAGAGTGTGAAAGGCCCACCATGCAGAGGGAGGAAGGACCGGGCACCCGGGCTGGGGGTCCGTGGACTGTGCCATGCTGTCGTGCCCACCCCCTGGGGCTGGCAGTTTGCCTTCTTCATTTCAGCCGTGACAGGGACTTTCCCCCGAGAACACAGAGTCTCTGCCTCCTGAAAATGTGGTCTCGGGGGCTATTTTAAGAGCTGATGTCAGCCTAGAGAGGCGGACGCACCCGGGAAGGGACCAGGCTGCACACACAGCCCTGGAACGCAGAGGAAAGACGCAGGTCGGAGCCCTCAAAGCACCGGCACAAAAACAAACAGGGCAGCTCCAGGCCTGGCGGAGCGGAGGGGTGGCCCGGGCTGCGTTCTGAGGAGCCCCGGGGCCATTGTCCTGGGAACGGCTTCCTGCCTTTGCTTTCATGTTCTGTCTCCTTTGTAAGATCACAAAGTATGAGAACCGCGGCGGCTCCCGCCTGGGCCTCCCCTGCACGGGCTGCTGTGGGCTGGGGCCAGGCCTCGCCCAGCGGCCCCCCACCCCGGCCAGCCTCTAAGGACAGCGCCCACTGCCCACTACCCCCCCCCACCATTGCCGTCCCTGGGCCATCCAGGACCCCCGACCTCTTTGCCCAGGAACATTCCTAGGGGCCTAGGTGCCACCTCTCCCCTGCCGAGTCCCCGCATGTCCCCAGGAAGGCCCCTGAGCCCGAGGATGTGTGTGCACATGCTGACCAGGCTTCACTGACTCCCCCTCCTGCCCCCAAGTGGGCTATGGCATTTGCTGCCATGTCCCCAGCTCAGCACCCATGGCCCCCTCACAGGAAATGGTGCTTCCATCCACCCAGCACCAGAGCCAGACTCGGGGTCTCCCCCGTCAGGAGTGTGTGTCATTAACTTAGACAGACACACCCATGGCTTCCCACAGGTCAGGACTGACGCTCCCCGGCAGCAGCTCTCTGGATACTGTGGCCGCCCGCAATGGCAATGGCAGCAGCCTGGCAATGGCAGGTCCTTTATTCTGATCTTCTCTCTAACATCTGAACACTCAAGCCACACATCTGCCTCCACAGCTTTTTGTTACAGAAGGGCTAAGGAAGGGTCAAGACAGCCACAGGGTCCAGGAGGCTGAGCAACGGCAAAGGCAGAGAGCAGATGTGGACACAGAGTCGCTGCAGGTGGTCGGACAAGATTAGGAACCAGCAAAGAGCTTGTTCAGAGCCACGGTCCACATAGATGGCAGCTTCAGAGTGTCAGTGTGGAGGCAGGTTGAGATGTCGGTGTGAAGTGGGGCTTGGTGATCGTCACAATAGGTCAAGCCCAAAGACAGAGATTCAGAGGTTTGTCACTGAGATGACTATTCTGGGCAAGTCTCGTGATGAGTGACAGGTGATGCAGGCAGGGTGCCACCCTTTATGGGTGCCAGTGAGGGCGCTGCTTCATTCAGGTCTGGGTGTCTGAAAGCTCATGAGTCCAACACAAGTTGGATCACCCACCATCCATGGCTTCTGATTGATTTGGTAAGCTCACGGTGGTCATTCTCATTAACATGATGAATTTATTTTTCAATTATGGCTAATGGTTCTACCAGCGGGTGGTGGTGGTTCACATGTACAAACAAGGTGGGGTCATCCACCTCAGCACTCAAACCCAAACTGGAGTAGCCTAGGGAAAACACTGGCGTTACCAGGGCAGGTGCAGCCTCAGGATTCCTGTTCCACACACCATGGAGTCACCAGGGCAGTCGCAGCTTGACTGCTGATCCACACACCATGGAGTCACCAGGGCAGGCACAGCCTGAGGACTGCTGTCCTACACACCATGGAGTCACCAGGGCAGGCGCAGCCTGAGGACTGCTGTCCCGCACACCATGGAGTCACCAGGGCAGGCACAGCCTGAGGACTGCTGTTCTACATACCATGGTGTCACCAGGGCAGGCACAGCCTGAGGACTGCTGTTCAACACACCATGGAGGCACCAGGGCAGGCACAGCCTGAGGACTGCTGTCCTACACACCATGGAGTCACCAGGGCAGGCACAGCCTGAGGACTGCTGTCCTACACACCAT